TGGCATTGTTTTCTTGAACAGTTATTTCAAAAAGAAATTGTTTTCTTGAACAGTTGGGTAGAAGTTGTCTATTAAACCTTTTGTTGTGTGATTTAACTTTTCCTAGAGCTTGTAACTTAGGTAAAGGTCATCCTGCAAGAAGGCTACTGTTAATATCCACTGTGGATTTATAGAATCATTGTTGGAGAGGCTCTTGCAATTGGCACATTGCTTGCTATCTTTTTCTTTCCATGAACGGCATTGACCATCAACCATATTTTTCTTGTTGTAGATGTCTTCAAAGTAATTTTTCGTTCATAATATTCTTTCTTTGAATTTCCCTTGACAGAGACAGGGAGCGAAGATGATGGGCTTTTGGATCTGACTGATGATGATTTCTTTGTAAGTGGAAGCTCAAGTGATGAAGCAGATGCAGATGATGAATGGACTGATAAAAGTACAAAGTATGCAGTGTATTTGTGAGAAGAGATGCTAGTTTCAAGAACAAATTTCTAATTTTAGGTGTAGGTCTGCATAGTTTTCCCCTCTTTGATTTCATCATTGCGATAAAAGTTAGAGTCCGTTAAGACAAAACTTGTGCCTAACGCATAGGGGGTCTTGTGGGACCCCGTCATCAATAGCCAGACTTGCTAGGCAGGGGTTGGTTCAAGTTGGTGGCCCTGCCTTTGGTTCGTTTATGATGATAAAGAATCTAGATAAGTGGGAATCACAAGATTTCTATATTTTTATTAACTGAGGAATTCTGATGGAAATTCTTTGTTGGTTGCTTAGCCTGTGAATTCACCTTTTGATTGTCATATATGTTTATCAATTGACTTCTATGGGTAAATGATGAATTTTTCTTTTCATACGCAGGGAACCTGCTTCTAGTGCTTCTGGGAAAGCAGCATCTGGCATGTCAAGTGATGAAAGAAACCAGGTTCAAATTCGATTTGGAAGAATATGTTATTCATAAATATTTATTGTGTCTTATATCTTTAAAATACTTACCATCTTCACTCCATCCATCTATGTAGAGGCAGATTTCTGCTAGGGCTTTAATGCCGCCACCTCGTCCATCAACCAATTCCTTATGTAGTTCAAATCCTCAATCAAGATTTGGACCTTCATCCAGTAAAAATGTATCCAAACGGAGGGCTGAAATTTCTACTTCTACCAACACTTCAAATAGCAGAAGTGCATCTTCCTATAAATCCAGGGGAACCTCAAATTCAAGAACAGGTCAGAGTAGCAACCTGAGTTCCACCTCTGATGCTCGCAAACCTCGAAGAAAGAGGAGGCCGAAGAAGAAAAAGCAACAGGTCTGTATGATAGCAGGAAATGGTTATGCCTTTTCAAAAAAAAAAATTCTTATTCTTGATCAGCTATTTCTCCTTTCTCAGCTTTTGAGTAGGTTATTTTTGAACACTTTTGCCATTTGCTTCAGTACCTGACTAGACTCTCGAAACTCCTCAATCATGTCTATAAAAATTTTTTGAGGCTTACAGTTTTCATTCACTATCCAGATTGACTTTGCCTCAGTCCTTTTGTATGGTTGTACAGTCATCTTGTTTATTTGGTAGTTTGCCTAGCTGATGGCTAGATCCCGCAAGGCCAAGTGATTGGTGCCTAGGCTTTAAAGGTCAGTGGGGACTCATGAGTTAAAGAAATTAGAAAGTGAATCTTTTTTCTGACTGTGGTAAACTAGAAAGTGAATAAGCTCATACTTAGATTCGTAAATGCAGAAGTAGATTAGATAGAAGACTTAGGCGAAGAACTCACTAAGCCAACCTCAGTATTTGAGAATAGCGTTTGCTGATTTGACCTTCGTGGAATCATTGTTACTGACTTGAGAGAATAACTCAATAACTTATAGATAGGACTTATGCAACCAATCTCAGTATTTGACAATAGCCTTGG